TCTCAGAATATTCTAGACATAACACCTGAGTCAACCCCCAACAGCTAAGGCATCAAATTTAAAAGCAGCAGTTGAAACAAAATAAGATAGATCTCTGTGTTCTTGAACCATAATAAAATACTCATCCATTTTGTTTAGAATTACATTTGACTAAGACCAATAATTGAGTTCAAAGGTATCAACTTGATAGCTTTCTTTTCCTTCAATGCCAAAGCAATGTATAATAATAGGCAAAATAATACAGCAGAAACATCAGGGGAATAACTGTATCTCAAGAAAGGTCTATTCCTTAATGGCTTTGGGAACTCATATCCACAAACAGAAAAGAGGGTTAACATATTTCACTAAATGAAAGGTTGTGCTGATATTAAACCTCTAAAAACAATATTCTGCTCTAAATCATGATTTTGCTTAAATGGCTAAGAAAATCAATTTCCACCTAAATACTCCTGAGTGGATGTCTTTTGGATACCACACTGTCAGTGTGTCACAAGCCAGTTCTATATACGTTTAATCTCTAGTCACATTGAACAAAAACATAAATGAACTGTGGTCCTTCATCTCTGAATTACTTAAGTTGACTGGAAATTTCCCTTACTACTTACTGATTTATAAAGCACTTTACCCTGTTTGGATGAAAGGATTATTGCAATAGTTTCCTAACTAGTCTCCCTGCTTCATCCCTTGTTCTCCACAGGCTACTCTCCACACAGCAGCCAAAGAAGCCCTGTTAAAAACGTCAGATCAATTACTCTTCGGCTCAAAACTGTCCAGGCTCTATTTCAGAGTAAAAGCTGAAGTTTTTCAAATGACACACAAGGCCCTCCAATGCACAATCAACCCACCTCTCAGCCCATCTCATTCCCTTGTTTACTTTGCTCCACTTACAATAGCTTCTTTGCTGTTGCTTGAATACACTAGGCATATTTGAGACCCAGGGCCTTTGCATTTGCTGTTCCATTTGCCAAGACTGCTCTTCCCATGCAAATCCATATGGCTCTGCTTGCACTTCTTTAGATCTTTGCTCAAACATCATGATCCAGGTGAGCCCCTTTATGATCACCTACATATAATCGCTACTTCTCCACTCCCGTACATATTTCCTCTCCTCTTTCCCAGCTTTGTTTTTCTGCCATAGCACTCACCATCCCACATTCTATACCTTTTGTTTATCATTTGTTTACCCTGCAAAAGTGCACAGGCTTTCTGGGTAAAGATGGTCTATTTGCTTTGTTCTCTGCTGTATCCCAGTGCCAAAACCAGTGCCTAGCACATAGTAAATGTTCAATAAATATTTATTTAGTGAACAAAGACTCTTACTCCAACTTTGGGACTTTCAGTGTCAACCCTATTAAGAGCTAGAAATAAGAGTTGGCGGATATCCCCAAATTTCCAGATGGCACTTGGCGTTTGTGAACTTACGTGCAGTATCTTTTGTCTGGTACATCGTTCCCTCTGATTTTCCTTAGATACTAAGGCGGCAGGAAAATTCCTAACTAGTTTGCAAGGAAGAAGAAAACCAATCATGCATAGGACTGATTTTAGATGATTTGATTCTTATCCATAAACCAATAGAGAAAATGCCTTCTGAATTTTTAGTTTCTCCTCTTAAACCTAAGGAAAAGAAACTGATTATTTGTTGCTTCTGGGGGTGTGTGAAAGGGGCTGGGAGAGAAACATGAAAGCCCCGTAGACCTCCGTCGAGAGCGTCAACTCTTACGCAGTCCAACTTACTTTTCTGGGGGGGCGGGTAGGCCTCGTTCGAGGTCTCTGCCAGGGGTGTCTCTTTTTCACCCTTTGAGGTGTCTATTGTGCTGCGTCTTAAGAATGGGGCGAGGTGGGAGAGGTGAGGGGTATGAAGGGATGCTGAGCGCGGCTCCAACTGCCTCCCGACACGAAGTCGGGAGGGAAGGGCTCTGCGCCGGTGTCTGGGGGCGAGCGGGCGGCGGGGCCGCGCGCTCGGATCGCAGCCTCGGCCCCGGGGCGCGGCGGGACGAGGGCTGCGCTGAGTTAGGCCCGGACAGAGCCCCGTGGCCTCCCGGCGGCCGGGCACGGGGCCCCGCGCACCCCACTCACCCCGGTCCCCCCAGTCCGGCGCCCTTCTCGGTTACCTCGAACTCTCTTCAGCGAAATGGGATCCTTCTCCTGTTCTGCTGACATTACAGACCGCAAAGCATGACTCCCCCCCAGGCCGCGGGAATTCGGTCTCTTTGATGCAGCGGCGGCGGCTCCTCCTCCTCGCGGGGCCGCTGCGGCTGCGAGGCGAGCCTCGGAGGCGAGGCACGGCCGAGGGCTGCGAGGACGCGGGCCGACTTTGCAAAGTTTGGGAGGAGAACGAGGCCTCCGGGCGGCGGGGCGGCGTGCGGGGGCTGGCCGGGCTCAGCGGTGGCGACCGGGCGTGCGGCCTGGGGGCGGCCCCCCGCCCGGGGCCGGCATGTGCGGAGGACGAGTGCGCCGCCGCCGCCTCCTCCCACTCCTTCTTCTTC